TAATTTCTTTCAGAGCTTTTCTCTCAAGAGCAGTTCTCTCAAGAGCCCTCTCAGCCCCCCCTCCCCACAGGGTGTCTGTTTTTTTTTTTTTTTTGGTAAACAAATTTTATTTTCTCAGGAATACAACATATAAAACATTTCATTCTATCAATTGTCTACCCCATTCCCAGTTCCTCCCCTCCCTCCAATGGCTTCCCACAATGCTTCCACCCCTGCTCCAAATTACTTCATATCATCAACAATATCAGTTTTTCATCATTACAATCTAAAGATAACATCGTTTGACTTAATATTGATCTAAACATATTAAGTTTTGTTTCACATCCCAGTTCTTTTCCAGATAAATTTTAAAATCATTCCATTCTCCAAAAAACTCATCGTCTTCTTTGTTATTCAGTTTTTTTGTAATCTTATCCATTTGTGCCATGAACAGAACTTTTTGTATCCATTCTTCAACCTCTGGTACCTTTTCTGTCTTCCAAAACTGAGCATAAATCATTCTCGCTGTCACTATCAGGTACCAGAGTAAAGTTTTTTTAGTCGTATTGACTTCTTCCATTTTGAGTCCCAAAAGCAGAATTTCCGGTGCTTTTTTAAAAGAACATTTCAGTATTTTTTGCATTTCATTGTGGACTTTTGTCCAAAAGTCTACAGCTTTCTCACAAGTCCACCACATATGATAAAATGAGCCCTCATGCCTCTTACATTTCCAGCATTTGTTTGACATATTTTGATTCATATTTGCAATCTTCTTAGGTGTCATGTACCACCTATACATCATCTTATAACAATTTTCTTTAACATTAGTACATGTCGAGATCTTAATAGAGTTTTTCCACAAATATTCCCAAGTTTCCATATCTACTTCCTTATTCATATTAATAGCCCATTTTAACATTTGTTCTTTAACAGTTTCATCTTCAGTATACCATTTTAACAACACCTTATACATTTTAGAAATATTTTTTCCTCCTCCACTCTCCCATACCTTTTCAATTTCATTTTTTTCCTCTCTAAAACCATAGTTTTTTTTGTCAGATCTAAAAAGATCATAAATCTGCATATATTTCAACCACTCATATTCATATTCAATTTCATTCTGCTTTTTCATTACCCACTCTGTTCCCTCTTTTTTAATTAAATCTCTATATGGCAACCAGTCTCTACCTCGCTGTCTTGAGTAAGATATCAACACTTCTACTGGTACAATCCACAATGGTCTTAAGTCACTCTGGTACTTCTTATATCTTGTCCATACCATATACAAAGCTTTTCTCACCAAGTGAAGTTTAAAAAAACTGTCCATTTTTATCTTGTCATACCATAAATATGCATGCCAGCCAAATCTACAATCATGCCCTTCCAACCCCAACAATCTGTCATTTTCAAGCTTCACCCATTGATCCATCCATGTTAGACAAACCGCTTCATAATATAGTCTAAGATTTGGCATTTGTAGACCTCCTCTTTCTTTGGCATCACAAAGTATTTTCATTTTGATCCTTGGTTTCTTGCCTGCCCAAACAAATTTTGACAACTCTTGTTGCCACTTGGCCAACAAATCCGTTTTATGCAGAATTGGTATTGTTTGGAACAGGAACATCAAACGTGGTAGGACATTCATTTTTATAACTGATATTCTTCCCATCAGTGATAAGTTCATTTTATCCCATTTCTTAAAATCTTGAGTCAGCTTAGTCCATAATTTCTCATAATTATTCTTATATAGGTCTATATTTTTTGCCGTTAATTCAATTCCAAGGTATTTTGTTTTTTTAACTACTTCACATTGTACCAGTTCTTGTAGTTCCACTTGTTTTTGTTTGATCATGTTTTTACATATAAGTTTTGTTTTATTCTTATTTACGTAAAAGCCGGCCAATTCTCCAAACTCCTTTATTTTTTGAAAAAGCAATGTCAATTTTTCTGTTGGGTTCTCCACTATAAACATTACATCGTCTGCAAAATGACTAGCCAGTTTTTGATCCATAAAAGGACTTGTCCTTCTATCCCATGATTTTTGAGCTTACTTAGGAGCCTTTGATGAGGAACTTTATCAAAAGCTTTCTGGAAGTCAAGGTAAATAATATCTATTGGATCCCCCTTGTCCACATGTTTGTTCACCCCCTCAAAGAACACTAACAGTTTAGTGAAACAAGGTCTTCCCTTACAGTTGTCCACATGTTTGTTCACCCCCTCAAAGAACACTAATAGGTTAGTGAGACAAGATCTTCCCTTACAGAACCCATGTTGAGTCTGCCTCAATAGGTTTTGTTCATCTATGTGCCTACTAATTCTTTCCTTAATAATGGTTTCCACCAATTTACCCGGTATCGACGTCAGACTGACTGGCCTGTAATTTCCCGGATCTCCTCTGGAACCCTTTTTAAAGATGGGAGTGACATTAGCTACCTTCCAATCCTCAGGAATGGAGGCAGATTTTAAGGAAAGATTACATATCTTTGTCAGGAGATCTACAAGTTCACATTTGAGTTCTTTCAGAACTCTCGGATGTATGCCATCTGGGCCTGGTGATTTATCAGTTTTTAAGTTGTCTATCAGTTTTAGGACCTCCTCTCTCGTCACCTCAATCTGACTCAGGTCCATCTAGTCCAGCGT